GCAAAAATTTGTATAAATGTCCCTCTCAGATAGTTACGATGCTGCTCGAAATTGTATTGTGGACTTAACTCTAAAAAACGGGGTAGAAGTAGAATTTTTTATAAACATTATTAATGATTGCCACATATATGACGGTTATGACAAAGTTTCAAAGATGAGTAGCTCATTTACCTGGGATTCGCATTGCCATTGTCATTAAGTGAATTTCCAATGCGGATCTCAGCTCCATTGATCCTCTCAGGGCAACAGTCTTGTCTGTTGGTGATAGTCACAGTGTTGATTTTATATGTCTTCAAAAGGTCAAGTCTCCACCATGGATTCAAGTCGTTGTTTGTATGGGCACAGGATCCCTGGTTGTAGTTGCTGGCACGATTCCCATCAATGGCATTTTCGGGTTTGGCATTCCCATACGTTGAAGACTGACTCACTTGTCCAAGTCTGGCAACATTAGTCTCTGAAAAGTTGCAAATATTAGCATTAATATGATAAGAAGAACTCCAAAAACCATTATGTGTTCATTAAACGTGGAACACACGAGAAGAATTGGACAAGATTTACCTGAAAGTGTACCATCAACTTCCACCTCACAAAGTGTCAGGTATTCTGTTCTCCCAGGAATAACGATGTTTATGTAGCGACCTTCCATTCCATTGCATGCAAAGGTTTGTGATGCCCCAGCAGCGATGGATGAGATTACAGCACATCTGAAAACAAATGACAAGAAAAAAGATTAACAAGTAACATAAGACTAATGTAAAACAAAAATTTGTATAAATGTCCCTCTCAGATAGTTACGATGCTGCTCGAAATTGTATTGTGGACTTAACTCTAAAAAACGGGGTAGAAGTAGAATTTTTTATAAACATTATTAATGATTGCCACATATATGACGGTTATGACAAAGTTTCAAAGATGAGTAGCTCATTTACCTGGGATTCGCATTGCCATTGTCATTAAGTGAATTTCCAATGCGGATCTCAGCTCCATTGATCCTCTCAGGGCAACAGTCTTGTCTGTTGGTGATAGTCACAGTGTTGATTTTATATGTCTTCAAAAGGTCAAGTCTCCACCATGGATTCAAGTTGTTGTTTGTACAGGCACAGGATCCCTGGTTGTAGTTGCTGGCACGATTCCCATCAATGGCATTTTCGGGTTTGGCATTCCCATACGTTGAAGACTGACTCACTTGTCCAAGTCTGGCAACATTAGTCTCTGAAAAGTTGCAAATATTAGCATTAATATGATAAGAAGAACTCCAAAAACCATTATGTGTTCATTAAACGTGGAACACACGAGAAGAATTGGACAAGATTTACCTGAAAGTGTACCATCAACTTCCACCTCACAAAGTGTCAGGTATTCTGTTCTCCCAGGAATAACGATGTTTATGTAGCGACCTTCCATTCCATTGCATGCAAAGGTTTGTGATGCCCCAGCAGCGATGGATGAGATTACAGCACATCTGAAAACAAATGACAAGAAAAAAGATTAACAAGTAACAAGACTAATGTAAAACAAAAATTTGTATAAATGTCCCTCTCAGATAGTTACGATGCTGCTCGAAATTGTATTGTGGACTTAACTCTAAAAAACGGGGTAGAAGTAGCATTTTTTATAAACATTATTAATGATTGCCACATATATGACGGTTATGACAAAGTTTCAAAGATGAGTAGCTCATTTACCTGGGATTCGCATTGCCATTGTCATTAAGTGAATTTCCAATGCGGATCTCAGCTCCATTGATCCTCTCAGGGCAACAGTCTTGTCTGTTGGTGATAGTCACAGTGTTGATTTTATATGTCTTCAAAAGGTCAAGTCTCCACCATGGATTCAAGTTGTTGTTTGTACAGGCACAGGATCCCTGGTTGTAGTTGCTGGCACGATTCCCATCAATGGCATTTTCGGGTTTGGCATTCCCATATTCAAGTTGTTGTTTGTACAGGCACAGGATCCCTGGTTGTAGTTGCTGGCACGATTCCCATCAATGGCATTTTCGGGTTTGGCATTCCCATACGTTGAAGACTGAGCCACTTGTCCAAGTCTGGCAACATTTTCACCTTGATTTTTAAAAGATAGAAAGATGCACAGAATCACCAAATGTAATTAACAGTGGTGTAAGTCATTTCACCAAGATATCTACAGTCAGCTTCTTTAATTGAATTTTTCTTATAATCTTTTTGAAAACACTTTTTCACTGATCTAATTAAAATATATAATTAAATATGAATTCTTCAAATCAGTTATTTACTTTTAATATCTCTTCGTTTGTTAAATTAACCAAGTCCTAGAATTGTAATGAATTCACGTTTACTTATTATATTTCTTAGATACATTTTTTAATCTCACCCAAATTTCCACTTAGTTTTCCTAGAATAGACAACAAGACAAATATTCCAGCCGTAGTCAACATCCTATAGAGAAAAGAAAACATTATTTCAGATAAATTTTATCATATTTAATCTGGAGTAGAGGATTTGACAGATGTACAATATTTTTTTAATGGTTTGCAATTTGAAATTTCTTTTAGAGTAATTTTTTTAATACAATTGTCAATTTTTAAATTATAACAGTAATTAAGCCTTGATAAGGTAGAATATTTCCAAAAATATATTAGTTTGACAATTGAAGGTTATTAATGATATTACTGTCACATTTAAGTTAAGTACTTTTTTGTTTTTTTTCCCTTTGGTTTTTTTTTCTTTTTTCTTTTTTTTTTGTTTTTTTTTTCTGGTAATATATATCTATATAGATATATTTTACAAAATACATGGAAAAACTCATATCATCCTATTCTACCAAGGAATTACCTTTAGTTGTAGGTAGGAGTCTCATAGTAGGTTCAATCTGCATTTTCACAAACTGAGCCATTATTATATATGTTTACACAGTGATCATGTGACTGACAGTTGTTTAAAGAATGGAAATTTATGTTCAAATAATAAATGTTATTCCTGTAACTTTGCTTAATTTCATATACACCCTTGTCAAATACCAGGTGACTCCCTTTTTCATAACAGTGCTGTGCATACAACAGAACATTTTGTCACGGACCCAACCAGACAACCTCACTTACTGTATTTCTCTATTCTGAAAACATCATGGGATGTCATGTAATAATTCAGAATTTCCTAGTTGTTGCCATAACTATTTGCCTATAAACTAGTTTAAAAGATATTGATTAAATGTTTTGAACACTTACACAATTTTTGGAGAAGATTTAAGGGAAAAAATTCCCAACAAGAATAAAATTTGTGCAAAACTGATTTTTGTCTCGGTTTTTAATTTTCTTGTTCTGTACCAGTACTACATTAAATATATATATAATATAAAATACATGAAAAATTGGAAACATATTCTACCAAGGACTTACCTTAAAGCATAGGTATCTGTCTCAAAGTAGGTTCGATCTGCATCTTCATATACTCACCCATTGTTATATATGCTTACTGTGATCATGACTATGAGTTGTTTAAAGAATGAAAAATCATGTTCAAATAATAAATGTTGTTCTTGTAACTTTGCTTAGTTTCATACAAATCCATGTCAAATACCAGGTGTCTGCCTCCCTTGAAGGTGACTGTCACTCCACATACATGTTGTTCATTAACGTAACTACAGATTTGCATTATTTCTTTGTCCACAATCTTATTTTCCCATTACATGACATATTTTCTGTCTGCCTTTATGCATTAATTTCTTGTGCAGCTCCTTTGGCTTTTAGCTACAAACTACATCCTAACTGCAAAAGAAACAGACATAGTTCAGGTCTGCCATTGCAAATATGCTATTTATCGTGATGCTATTAGCTGGCAGCCTGATTGTACTATTGTACCATTCTGTCAGGCTGCCAAATCTGATGACATGCCTTGTATTAGCATGGTGTCTGTGCAGATGTTTGCAAAGAGCTGGAGTTCTCCTAGAAGTATAATGCTGTTGTGTCTGTCCTCGATGCAGTTTCCATTTTACCATAATGCACTTGTCCTTTTGTGCAATAAAAATTCAAATACTGTACATATTCCTGCTGTAGACAACACCTCTATTTTCGTCCTCGATGACATGAACTGAAATCAGCTGGTTATAGTGCAAGTGCAAATGGAACCGATAAACAGAATCATTAGGCAAACAGACTAACAAATCAAAGGAACTATACAGCTCCATCCCTTATAGACTCCAATTTGTTCATATAAATGGGAGGTCCTCTTTTCTTTATCGATACATGAAGCCAGATAACACACACTGTAGGAAAGTCTTTTAATTTCATGCTTCTAAATCCAAATAAATTCACTAGAAATATATTGTCTAACCAGGTGTTTAATCTGGATGGCAAGCATCTGGTGCCTAACCAGACAGACCATGGCTTTCACTCTTTGGCTCTGTCAAATTGGGCAGATTGACATTGATATAAGTTATACAGTGTGATTTTTTTCCCCTATTACCTCAACCTGATACTGCTGGAGACTTCTTCTTGTCAGAAGGGAATTTTTCCTTCCCACCAAGTACTTACTCAAAAGAAGGTTCCTTTGATTTGGGTTTTTTTTTCTGTAATCTTGAAGGATCTATACCTTGCGATAGTGCTTTAAAGTGCCTTAAGGTAATTGCTGTTGTAATTTGGCACTATCTAAATTGAATTGAACTAAATTGAATTGAATTAAAAAGTGACAACATGTGCATTGGACAGGCAATAACAAGGCAACTCCCAAAATGGAACGGTTTACCAGGTGGTGGCTACAGATCATTGCTCCTTCTACCTCCTGACTGATTTTTCTTCCACCCTCTGAGGTTCCAGAGATACTCCAGCTCCTGCAGCATGGCACATCCATGTGTGCCATTATTTGTTGTGTTTCCCAAACAAGTCATGCTAGATGACATTTTAAACAACATAAAGTATACATACAGTACAGTGTCTCTGCCAATTCTGTGTTTGAGTAGCACAGTGTTAGGCTGTGAACAGGTCCCATTAACTGATGGCAGGCCTTCATGCCACCCTCACAGAGTCTGTCTCTCACCTGTTGTTCAGAAATATGTGCAGAAGTAGCCTGATGGAGGTCATGTTATAAGGTTTGGGAAGTGCTACTCCTGTTCCTTCTTATACAAAGGAGCAGTTATCTACTCCTGCTGCTCGGTTGATCCTTTTCTATAGTCTAGCTTCCCTCATGTAACAGCTACTTTTCTGGTTTCCTTGACAATATAAACATTGTGTTGGGAGCTGATGGCACAATTGAAAGAGATGGACTACCTAGAGTAAGTAAACAGAATGGGCTGCAGGTACTATCTAATGCAACCAGCTGTGACAAGGCTCTTGGCCTCAAAGGCAGCTCTGGAACTGAATTGGAGACTCAGCTTCGGACCCTTGAAAAACCTGAAGCTAACCAGGCCCCCACTAAGCTAACCTGATAGTAGCGTTAGCTCTCCCCTGGCAAATTGTCCCCAACGGCCAGGAAAGCAATATGGCTAGGTGACGGTAAGGAGGAAGCATAGTCTTATCTGTCTGAGACATTTTCCCCACGTGGTGACACACCTGCTGGGGATCAAACTCTGGTAATCGGTGATTCTGTTTTCAGACATGTAAAGCCAGAGACACCCTAACCCTAACCATGGTCAATTGTCTCCAAGGGTCAAAGCAGGTGACATTGAGGGAAATTGAAAACTGCTGGCTAAGGATAAAGGTAAATTCAGTAAAATTATAATTCAGTTTGGCAGTAGTGACACCTGGCTACGTCAATCGAAGATCACTAAAACTGAAATTGAATTGGTGTGTAACTTTGCCAAAACAATGATAGACTCTGTAGTTTTCTCTGATCCCCTTCCCAATCGGACCAGGAGTGCCATGTTTAGCCACATGGTCTCTTGAGATTACTGGCTATTTGATTGGTGTCCAGAAAACAATGTGGGCTTTATAGATAATTGGGAAACTTTCTGGCGGAAACCCAGTCTTGTTAGGAGAGATGGCATCCATAACTCTTTGGATGGAGCAGCTCTCATTTCTAGAAATCTGGCCAAATTTATTAAACCCCTTAAAACGTGACTATCCAGAGTTGAGGCCAGGAAGCAAAGTTGCAGTCTTACAAGCCTCTCTGCAGTTTCTCCCCTCCTGTTATCACCCCCAGAGCCCCCATGCCCTTAGAGACCGTGTCTGCTCCTAAACAGACAAGCAACAAACTAAAAATTGGCAAAAAACATGAAAAATCACAAAGAAAGAACAATACAGTATCCACATCTGCACCAGGAAGAACTGTTATTATTAAACATTACTCGATTACATCAATTTACTCTGCCTTACAGAAACCTCGTTTCTGGCTTGGTCTGCAGGGTAGGTGGACGGACACACCTGAGCGGCATCCACAATCACGCCTCAACAGCTTAAAAGTCTGTACTGGGTCCTGAGCTATATTCTTGTTGGTGTGTGTTCGGTTGGCGGCTGAAAAGCTGCAGCAGCGTGTAAACAAGCAACCATAATAAAGTGTGCTGAAAAGCGTTGAGATGTGGTTGGGTCTGTCATGGATTGTTTACAGTATCATCAACTTCTACCTCACAAAGTGTGAGATGTTTTTTTCTTCCTGGAATCACAATGTTTACGTACCATCCTTCCATCCCATTACACATAAACGTTTGGGAGGCCTTATATCTTTAAAC